TAACGAAATCCCAGCTAACTTCAGCTTAGGCCCTGTATCAGCAAAGAATATATTACAGGACATCTGGCACCCCATCTCAGTTCTGCAATTGGTCCTGTATAGGTTTTGGCTCTGTGTCTGTTAAAAGGTTTGTCACACCAGACTTGAGCACAACAGATCTTGGGCTAAATTTTAAGTGCTAGGAGTAGAATTTACCCTTTTGCCTTTGGTATGGTAAAGCTATGAATAAGAAATCATGTCCTGATTTTCTCCCTTTCCTCTGCTCTAGAATCAGCAGAAACAAGAATTGTCACCACCTGGAAAATAAGAGATCCTATGTACGGATATGAAAGTTTGCACTAAAGCATCTATTTGTTATCAATTGGTTAATAAATAAACCTTTATAATGATTTATCTAAAAGAACAATGTTTTAAAAATATTTCTGACATAAAACCCTAAACTTACGGTCTGTTTTGGTTTGGCACAAAAAAGATGATTTTTAATTTTTCATTGTTTAAGTTTTACCCACTAATCAAATTTGTCACTAGCGTAAGAAGTGTATATGGCTTCATTGTCTTCAATGCAGTCGCATCTGTTTAGGTTATCAGCTAAGTTAGGAGCCCAAAGTTAGAAATCAAAAGCTGGGTGGGCACCTGACTGAAACAATCTTGCTCTCAAATGCTGAACCTGTCTCACTCTCATTTACAGCAGGAAAGGGATTAGCACCTAGGTGATAATAGATAGTTATTCTACTTAGGAATACAAATATCTTCAAAGTTTGGCCCCTTATTACAAGGGCTACAAAGAAGATAAAATTCCTTTCAAAATAGGTAAAATTATTTCTTCAAGGCTCTTCAGATAAGGAACTGTAACCTGTACACTTTCCTCTTCAGACTATAAATACCAGATTCAGAAATGACGCTACTACAATCTTTTGGAAAAAATAATGAAATATTGCAACTTTAAATTACATGATGATCAACACACAACCCTTTTGAAAGGTTATGTTGAGTTTGTTTTAAATAAGGAAGCATCTAAGTGACCATGATCATACAAAAATTTTGGATTTACGTTAGTCAGCATTTGTCCTGAAGAAAATTCACATGCCATTAATTTCCCTCCTTGCAACTTTCTGTTCAATATAACTCATGCTATGTCTTAATAATATATCAAAATATACCCCATGAAGTACTGGAAGTACTGCTTAATTTATATCTAATGTCAATTAAAACCAGAAGTAGATTTAAGACCTTTTAGAATTCCACATGTGAATAGGAAGAAGTCATTGTAAGGTCAAGATTTTCTAATCTTTCAGAATACAGCAAATTAATTATTGGCAAATTTTGGTTTATTATTTTGTCTCCCAGCAAATTCAAAAGTAAACCTCCTTGTCAAGAAAATGAATGTTTAGCATTTATACGAGGCTTCATCAATTGATATAAAGCATGTGTAAGCATGTCAGTCCTTCTACAACCCTCTTTTCTTAGGATATTAAAAGATTGCAAGATTGGGCCATTGATGTGATTCAATGGAATGACCTAATCCGATGCCAAAGACTACCCATTCTTTTTTCTCTTCTGTGTTTCCCAAGCTAAGTATGTACTGACTTGTCTGGGACAAGATGTGCTGCATACTCACTCAGCACAATGGAACCTCATGGTAAGGAAATGAAATCACAAATGCTGATATTTGTGGAGCCACTTTGGTCTTACACCAGCACACCTAAACTCAGAGCTGCCCTTCCATCTACAGAGAACTCTGCCTCTGGTACTGCAAGGGTTCTGCAAAGGTACACCACATCCAGGTGCACGTTCCCTGACATTTTTTGGGTGTAGCCATGCTTAGCAGACAGAAAAATGCCTGAAGGAACACTTCTGTCTTGAGTGTGGCTCGCAAGGGCAGGTACACTTCCATGAAACCTCAAAGAAGAAATAAGCACTCACAAAGTCTTGAGGGGAGGGGAAATAACCTTTTACAGGGGACCTGGTGCTCTGCAGGTGCTTTTACAAATACAAAAAG